GAGGCGACTTTTGTTGTGATTTGGCGCTATATAAATAAAATTGAATTGAATTGAATCTTTGAACAACGTATTGCATTAATTTGGTCATAGAACAGTAACAAGTAAGACAAAGTAATGGACACATTTGTTTCACCTGAAGATGGTCCAATTGATCATTTACCTTCTATGTTGGAAAAAACATGGATGTTGGAACCAGAATGGCTGAAAATGTAATTATTAAAACATTTCTGAAATAGTTTAGTGACAAATAAACTGACAGACAACATGCCATTTGTGGAGTTATGCATGGGTGAAACCAGCTTTGCGAGTGAATAGATCATTTATCTTTTTGGTGTGGCTTTTAATGTTTATTAGCTTTTTGTGTGGGCTGCGTTTGTATCAGTGAGCTGAAGCCTGAAGCTGAAACTTGTCAGATTATTCATTTCTAATCAGGCCTGTCAGTTGGGGTCAGAGGGTCAACGCAAGAGGTCACAGGTCAGCTGCGATTGGTTAGTTTGAACTCGGCTGCTGAATGTGGACAGGAGTCAAAGTTCCACTTGGATGAGCTTTAACCCCCTGACACACGCAGTACATATGACAACAATTAGCGGAAAATTCTGATAATAAATTGTGTGTTTGGTAATTAGATGATCACGCTACATGATTTCACCCTGCAATGCTGTGCCAGAAGTGACAGAAGGATACCTGAGCTTTGTTGCACTCATACAGAGCAGAGGGCAAGTTTTTACAGCACTTTAACTCTTTAATGTCCTCCTTTTGATGTTGTGTACATCAAACGGCAATAAAAGTCCACCTTGTTTTATTTTTCACTATGTCACATTGAAAAAGGTCCAGCAGGCTTTCGCTGCTTCCCAGCATTTGGTTTTAATGTGTCTGACAGAATGTAAACTCTGAGGAACCAGTTGGGATCAGTTACACAAATCTGTGACTTAATTGCAATTTTACTGATTGTTCTCATGTGTTTGCTTTTTTGTTTTCTAGTTTGAAAACTGAACTTTAGCAAATGAAGCAAATATTATACTACATGCAAAGATTGGCCTTTGATGTGCGTGATCTTTATCTATACTATAACACACATACACATACATATGCACTCACACACACACAATTTATTATTATTAAGTGTATTTAAACATGTAGTCGGGATAAGGACGAGTAGCTGAAGTTCAAACTGAGCATCAGAATGGGGGAGAAAGGTGATTTAAGAGGTCAGATTAGAATGGCCAGGCTGCTTGAAGATCGCTAACTCAATTAACCTCTGATTAAAGCCAAGGTATGCAGCACATCTAACCTTGAAGCAGATGGGCAACAGTAGAAGACCACACTGGATGCGACTCCCGTCAGCTAAGAACAGGAAACAGAGGCTCACTTGTGGGATTGCAGTGGCATTCCTTCTAATTTGCTAAACGAGCCACTGATGAGCTCCAGTAACTAAAGTCTGACACAAATGACAGGAGATGTAATTCAATTTTAAAATGCCAACTTTGCAATGATCATAATTACATGGTAGAAAAAACATGAGCTCCCAGGTATATCGTAGCTCTTTGTCCAACTCCACATGATGTCACTCGTTAAAGGGAGCATTAACATTAACAAACAGTCAAAGGCACAGATACTTGCTTATCTTTATATCTCAGTCAGGCCATATCTTATCTTAAGGACCTCATAGCAGCATATCACCACGATGGAGCACTTTGCTCTCAGACTGCTGGTTTACATGTGGTTTATAGGGTGTTTAATGGTAGAATGGTAGAGCAGTCACCTTTCTCTGCTTCTCGCTTCACCTCTTTTCACACTCAGTGTGCATGTCATCATTAGTTATTCATAAACTCCCCGTCTTCCTCCCGTCATCCCTAACCGGTCGTTGGAGATGGCCTCACTGAGCCTGCTTCTGCCGGGAGTTCTTCCCTGCTAGTGTCACTGAATGCATGCTCACAGGTGGTTTGGTTATTGGGGTTTTCGCTCCGTTATTGTCTTTAACTTACAATATAAAGTGAGTGTTGAGATTTGGCACCAGATAAATAAAACTGAAATGAGCTGAGCTTACATCATGGATGTGCAGCCAACAAATCTGCAGCAGCTGTGTGAACCTGCCATGTCAGTATGGACCACAGAGTCAGGAATGTTTCCAGCACCTTGTTGAATCCACGCCATGAGGAATTAGAGTAGTTCTGAATGCAAAAGCGGGTCTAACCCAGTATTAGCATTTTGATGAAGTATCAGGTCGGTGCATGTTATAAATAAAATCTTGCTTCCTTTGTATGGCACTTAAAGGTTTACTATCTAAGAGTGTTAGAGATACAGCAACACACTGATGATTTAAAGCATGGCAGCTGTTTAATACTGTGGGTTAGCGCAGGAAGAAGATCAAGGTGGAAAGATAAAAAGAGGGTGCGGGGCGGAAGAGCTGCAGATAAAAGGAGAGGAAGGGTTTGTGATAGATGACAGACAAAAAGGCATTCATGACGCCCAAACAGTTACTCCCCTTCAGTACTGTCAGTAACCTTAAAATCAGAAAAAGGCTGTTTTTATTTGCAAAAGATTTAATCGCCTGCAAACTGAACGTTTATTCAAGGCAGGGAGCGCGTCAAACAAACTCCAAATTCACGTCTGTTCGTTATTCAAACTTCTAGGCTGTGTGTTTGGTTTTTTAAGTCCGTTGTAGTCTAGAACATTCCCCTGAAAGTACTACAGATATCTTGTGACATCTCAGATCAACTAAAATCAAAAATCTGCTCATGTGTACAGCTTTGATATGTTTTAGTAATGATTTCTGTGCACACTGTGAGCTTCTGTTTGCTATAAATCTTAATTAATCTAAACCCTTTTTAGCTGTTTCATTAATTTCTCATTATCAGGACGACTTTCTCACTGATGTGATTCTGCTCGATTTCCTTCTGTTCACTAAAATATCACGATACTGTATCCTCTAACAGCTCCAACCTGCAAAAAGTCTGATGTGTGAGCTCACTCTGAGAGCTTCCCCCGGCATACAGTAATTGGTTCTTTTCTGTCTTTCTGCTTCCTCTTGTCGTTTATTTATGGTTGATTGCCTACTGCTCTACCTCATGTGCTCCACCTTAGTTTGAAGTTTCCCTTTTTGTCCAAATTAGTTTCTCATCTCTCAGATACAGTTGTCTTTTTTCCCTCCCTCTTGCCTCACAGCTTTTCTCATCCTGCAACTAAAAACTTTGAACTCGGATAGCTGTGCAGAATTCCTCACCGTGACCTACAGGTCGAAAAAGAAGAGAAAGAAACTCATTCAGTTTCTATAGCAACTCACAGCTCAGACGTTCTACTGTGGGGTCAAAGTGTCCAGGAGGTGCTTCAGTAACTCATGTTAGACTTCAAAGCTCTTCGTGTGCTTCCGTCTTTATAGGAGATGATGCTGAAAGGGTCAGATTTAGGCTGCCTCTGGTCACTGCTCTCCGCCTCGCACACTCTCTCTCTCTCTTTTTACACACATCTCACCGACGAGGTCTTTCCCTCATATACATGAAGAAAACACCGTATTTATTGTGACTGAATTGTTTAAATGTAAAAGTCGACTTATTAGGTTGCAGTGCACTTTACACCACATCTGGTCCATAGTTCTGAAGAAGCTGCAAAGTCTATATGACCTCTGTAACTAATATCCTATCTCATGTAATGAATAAGTCTGGATATTTTATTCTGATGAGTATGGATAAGATGTCTGACTGCAAATCATAGTCAAATTACCAACTTGGTACACTGTGGGTCCTCGGTATTGACTAAACATCATTTATATTCCAAAAGCTGATCACGAAGCTCAAATCATCCACACTGGTAAACTCGAATTATTCAAACTACGTAGAGATAATCCTGCAGAAAAACATTTCTTTCACAGTATCACTGTCACAGGCTTTTGCTTTGTTGTTTTTGATTGGTTGTAAAAATGAGGCAGCCTGTGGGCAGATGCCAGCAGAGCGAGAGAAACTTTCTGCTGGGCTCTGACGGACATTGGAAGGACTTTTGTCTGTTGTGCTCCGTGCACAAGTGTCAAAATAGGACGGGGGACAGAATGAGGCTTTCACAGCCACAACGATGAGCTGGTGAAAATTTGGAACAACGTGTAACTGCATGGCTCTCATATGGTCTGCAAATCACTGGTTCAATAAACCAGTCCTTACACTGAAAATGAAAACTGCATAACCCGCCCTAGTTTCTGATTTTACTGGTCTGAAAATGCACATTTGTTCAGTTCAGAAAACAATAACCGTTTCCTGACGATAGGTAGTCGCATCCGTCTCTTGGCACTCAACCACGGCGTACTGTGTGCCTGCGAGTGTGTGTGAATGAATGTGTGTGTTTGGTTTTCATGTAGAGCTCCTATGAAACATGGATTAGGTCTTTGTTCCTGTCTGGTAGATCAAAGCTTTGTGGTATTCTGAGAGCAGCTCTCTTGTTGTGGCAAGTTTTCATTTCTGTAGCCTTTTGCCTTTGCTGTGTGTGTTGGCCTGTGTGAGTCTGCATATCTTGTGCCTCTTAGTGTGGGGGCATTCCAGTGTGGGCCACTGCTTGTAAACCTCACTTTGGATCTCGTTATTACAGGTTTATGAAGAGGGATGTATTTATTTACACTCGTTACTGTGTGTTTACTGCAGGGTTTGCATGTACCAAAAATTGTGCAGCATAGGACAGGAAAAAATCCCGGTGGGTTTCAAACTCCAATGTTGAAGCTTTGAATAGTTCAGATAACGTCTGGGCTGTTTACAAGGGGCCTGAAAGTAAAGGAGAGGATGCTTCACACAGTTTAGGATTTCATACAACTAACTGCAACTAATTTCCCCCCCCCCCAATAGTCTGTAATCCTCTCTGTGATCTGTATGTATCAGCATTTTCAGCTCAGTGCTGCAGTTAGGAAGGCTGCAAATGCAATAGCAGTATCTTGTCACTGGAGGGAGCCATAGTTGCATTTTAAAAGTAGCGGCTCCGCACTCGTCCATGCAGACACATCATCCATACAAGGATTAAAGACGTTCAGTAACAAAGTTGTATTTATTAACGTATGAGAATGAGCTTGTGAACGGTCAGGTCAAATCTTATCATGACTACAGCTTTGTGCAGACGAGTCAACCCAGTGTTTTCTACCAGTGCTTCGGGGAGCGTACAAAATGCTCGTCAGTCTATTGGTACAAAAAGCATTGAACATTCAGTTAAAAACTGTTAGCCCTTTCATGTGTTTCTACTTGCTCTTCCTTGAAATTAATCTCAAATGCATCTTTAAAAACCCCCAATACATTTGTTCCTATCCACTGACTGCAAACACGCCTGCAGAACTGACACTGCTAACACTGAAAATAACAAAAACGAGACAGATCGCTTTGTAAAATTGTGCTTTGTGAAAAGTAAACAGAGGGTTGCGAAGTGTTTATATCAAAATGACAAAATGACAATTTCTTTATTTCCAGTGGAAATTTTGTGTGACGTTTGTGTACGTAAAAGCAACATATGGCAGGGTGACAGTTTTTGACGTTTAACTTGCCAGTCCTTGCTTTCTTCCTTTTCCTTTTTGATGGCAATCTTTGGCTCAGTCACCATTTTAAACTCACCAACTGCAGAATATCATGTCATGTCCTGCTCCTCTTTTTCCTCCCCTCCTAGACTTTGTCCTTTGTTGTCCTTGTGTGTATTCTGGCTCTTGTTAGCTGTGCCCTGACCTCTTCGGTTCATTATGAGGAGGAGGAGCAGGAACAAGGCAGAGACAATGAGAGACACCCCTGCCATGAGGAAACCTGTCCCATAATCACTCATCTTGTCAATGAAGAATCCTAAAAGGAAAAGTAGAAGTGGGACAACATCTATTCATCACTGGAATTCACCTGTGCTGTCAAAAAACCAACAAACACAACAATGTTTAAGCTATGTTATTGTTCATGAACAAGCAAAAGACTGAGGCAGAAATTGGATTGCACTAACATTAGGTTCATCCTAAGGCAATGAAGCCAGCGACGCACATGAAGGAAACATAAATAGAATCTTTGATGCATCCTCAAAATCCATCAAGTCTCCGGTCATCAAAGTAGTAGAAGTAGTTAGAAATAGCCTCTGTGTCAGAGGAACCATGTGAAGTTAAAAATAGGACACCACTGGCTATATTTGCATCTACTTCACTTCAATGAGCATTTAACTATATTTGAGGTCAGTTTCAGCCTTGAGCGTGTTCTTTAATTCAACATTTAAATGTGGGGGGTGTCACTTTTATCCAAATTAAGAGATTTTTAGGGAGTTAAATAAATAAAAAAGATTCTTTAAATGTCAGCAGGAAAGTAAGAAACTGGGGGAGGACTGAAAAGTATTTGTTGATATTTTTATATGCAACGTTTTCTTTTGTTTAAAGAAAAAACAAAAAATCAAATAACCATAAATCTTCCACCAAAGGCAGCATATCTGTCTGTCTGCATGCCAAATCACACCGGATGTTTTCTAATCTCTATTAACTGCTTTTCTTTAGTGTTGTGTGTGAATGTGAGTCACAACCTCCATAATCAGGTTAAATCCTCGCTGATTTGGGAGGCGGGGCTCATGGTATGTGTTGGTTTGCACAGAGAGAGGAGAGGAGCAGAAAAACATTTTACTGTAATTCAGTTCAAGAAATGCCTTTTTAATTAAATTGGCAGACAGATTACTGGAGATGTATGATGGCATATTTGCAACTCGTTTAAATATATCTTGGCAAGGTGGTGAGATGAAATAGCTGAAAAAAGGACACATGCACTTCCAGTTAGGCGTCTATTTGCCATTTGTCATCTCTTTGCTCTTTTTTTCTGCTTTGCATGCATAGTTACTGCAGCTGCTGTTGCAATGCAGTGTAACAGAAGGAAAAATCAGTGGGAAAGAGCCTCTCTTTAACAAGAAAAAGACATATTTGGAAGCGATCAGCTGTAAAATAAACATAAAGTAGCATCATAATGTGATTTTTACCCACTTGCCCTCTAAATACAAAAGAAAATGTAAATAGAATAACAAGGATTCTGTCAGATGGACATTGATGAAATCCATTATTAATTGTAAAGCAGTACTGAATGTAAGCAAGGTATCAAAATCTCATTTGATTCCACTCAGCTTCAGTGCGCTGCAGTTACATCGTAGAAAAATGCATAAGCACAACCACTGTGTAAGACTTTATGTATTGGATAATGTGAGGGGACACTGCGACCTTGAAATGTTTCTAAAGCTTTGCAAATAGAAATGTTAATATAAAGCAACAATTCAATAATTATACCTTTTAGTTTGCAGTCACAGCACCTAAATGGATGAGTTTCACAGCAACAACATACAGTTAAAAATCCATTTCTTTTGTGATATTCACAGAAGGTTTAACATGTCTGTTGTTTTTAGTGTTCACTATAAAAACTCACCAGCAATAGGTGGTCCAAGCAGGCCTCCGCTGCTGCGTATAAGCATGAAGAACCCCAGTGCACTTCCGAGCCTCTGGATGCCCACAACCTCAGCCAGCACAGTGATGTGAATGGCAACCGTTGCACCATACACCAGCCCGTAAACTGCACTAAAAGCAACCAGCTCTGAAAACGAGGTAGCCAACGGGCATAGCAGTAACACTGTACCCAGCAGAATCACTGTAGCCGTCAGCTGCTGCACCTGGAAATGGGAAACAGTGCATTAGAGTGTTTCTTAGTTTCAGACTAGAGGGCTAGTTACATTTTTTTTCTCAATGAGTCGCCGGGAACATCCCAAGTATCAATGCATTATTTACCTTTCCGTAGATATTAAGTTGTAATGATTTACTTATTGTTTCACCCATCACCTACAATATTTCTTGCTCAACAGGCATATCTGTTTGATCTGTAATACTGTTAATAAGAAGCACTTTGCTATCATGTGATTTTCAAAGTATGGTTCTAGGTCTGGTTCATTATTACATTGAACGCACCGTCTCTGTCAGTCTCAGGTTTGCCACCCAGCCAAAAAGCACTCTTCCAAAGAGGTCCAGCACTGCAGAGATGGACATAAGAGCAGCTGCCTGGTACTCCTCGATCCCTTTACTGCGGGCATAGGGAACCAGGAACAGAGCTGGGGCAAAGAAACCCAGAGCAGCAAACACCCCAAACATAGAGTAGACCATGAACTGAGCATTTGTAATGAGGGTATAATCTACATACAGAAGAATTTTGTTCTTTAGTTCAGTCCACTTAGTTCTGCTGGTTGATTCTTCAGTCATATCATGTTTGTCACTGGGATCTTCAAAACATAGTTCCACTCTCCACTCATCAGCATCCTCCAGCTCTTTCCCTACATGGCAGCTGGACTTGACCTCATCCAAGTCCTCTTTAGAGACTGATCTGATTTCCAAGCTTTCTTCTGCAGCTTTTATCTCACTGCCATTAGTAGGATCTTTGGTGGCTTTCAGGGGCCTCAACAACATCCCACTTACGCACAGGTTAAGCTGCAGCCCCCCTAAGATCAGCAGAGCACCTCTCCAAGAGAAGCTGTCAATCAGCAGCTGAAATAAAGGGGTGAGGACAAAGGTAAAAATGCATTCTCCTGAGCTGGATAAGGCATTTGCCACCGGGCGCCTCTTCTCAAAGTAATAGCCCAGCATGGTCACTGTGGGCGTCCACGTTAAAGCGTAGCCAAATCCTGCAGCAAAGAAAAACAGCAAATATGATATTTTCTGTGTTGTGTTTTCGGTTGGTTTTGTGTGCATTGTATCACTTACCATTTAGAAACCCTACTGTTAAGTAGAGTTCAGTGAGGTTATTGGCAAAAGCCCCAAATACAACTCCTAAGCTGCACATCAGACCCCCCGTTATCACTACAGCACGATGGCTGAATCGTGCGCTGAGTGCAGATGCCACTGGAGCTGCAAATGGGCACATAGGACATACTCATATAACTGATTCCATAACAACATTTACACACTTCATAATATAACAGATGCTTTTTAATCTGTTCTGTAACTTGCTTAGAATTTTAATCGTCGACTTAAGAGTGTCCTTTATTGTCCAGCTATATCATTTATATAACCAAACTATCCTAACAGTTGGGTTCAAAATTATATCTTATTATTTTGAGTACTCTCCTGGTAGTTTTGTGATTAATGCAGTAGAATTCATTCAGCATGAAAAGAACCAGGTGTCAAATGTTTAACCATTTTTTAAATTGTAGAAGTGCGACACCTGGTGGCCACAACTTAAAAAGTGGAGGGCATTTAAAGGGTAAACGCATCGAGATTATACTGTCAAAATAGGAAAATGTGTCGGGATGCTCCGATGTCTACTCTCACCACACTCGCTTCCATACGCTTGTATTAAATACAGACATGCTTAAGATTAAAAACTTGCTGATAGTTACCTACAATGTGAATGGTAGCCACCGCAATAGAGGTGATCCACGATGTACCTGTTGCTGTGGTTTCAAAGTATCGATGTATCTCAACGTAGAATACACCAAATGCTTTAATGACCCCAAAGGTCAAACCAAAAACTAGAAAGCAGGAGAGCAGGATGAACCAGGCGTAGCCGCCGTCGGGGGCTGCAGCTGCCGCCATGGTTATCTTTCTCCTCTGAGCTCTCGATGCAGAGTCCATGTTCACTTGCGCTGGCTCCTTAAACAGTCAAATATCTACAGGGAGAAAAACAAGTATATTATTATTTATTTATTTTTTTGGGTGCTTTTACATTTGATGTCAAATTGTTAAGCAAGATATTAATTTCCATAAGAGACTTTAATTTGTAAACAGATATTGGCTGGTGTCTCTGCACTGAAGATATTCAGAACAGCTACTAAATCTGAATGATGTTCTTGTTTAATTTCAGATGCAAATCAACATATTTTCGACACGAATACATTAAACAGAAAGACTTATCTGGATACCTCTGGCTAAAATTTGTCAGTACTAAGTGAAAAAGTTACCTTCTAAGTACAGTACCCAACTGCTGTACTTAATATATGAAAATGTACATCATGATATCAGTCAACAGAATTACTAATGCATGCAACAACAAGACCAGCCCAGGTATGTCTGAGAGCCAGAGCTGCGATTCTGTCTCCAATAACCATTTAGTCCCTAAAAACAGAGCAACTTCAGCAACCTCGCACAGAGCACTGTACTTCAAAAGTGTAACAGTACAACCAGGCAACCAGACTCAAGGTCCCCTGCTGTCATCAGTTTGATAAGTGGTTAAGAAAATATATGGGTGGATATATTTGAGTAATAAGTACCTGGCTCGTGTACAGAGCGCTGACAAAAACTCCGAGAAGCTTTTAAGATGAACTGGGATCCCACATAAAGTTTCATTTCCAGGTGTAATGGAGAAAATCCAGATAGGATGCAAAATCTTGTGGAAGTCAATACGAGGTTTTTGATTCTAATAGTTTTTCCCTCACATAAACACGCACTGAGCGAATGTTGATTCCTAGGTTAAGAGTTTAGTTCCAGCTGTAATTCCCACCAAACAATACTGACCGATGATGACTTGTGTGGTGCAGTTGGATAACACTGACAATGTAACTTTGGTCATGAGACAGTACATACAGTCCATTTACTTCCTTTGATGTCTGCCTCAAACTGACCACCACGTGTGTCCACAAGACTAAAATCTCGAGGGCTGGATTAGTCTTTGTCTAAGCAGCATTTCAATAAGCCATACTCACTCTGCCTGCTGAATCAACTAAATTTGTCATAAATCGAGACATTCAACACCTCTTTATTCCAACCAGCGTTTAGTCTGAAAAAGGACATTTTTCATCTTTCTCTGCGTCTGTCCAAAAAGGACAACAGTAAAGTGCGTCTATTGTTAGTTATTTGTCTCTTGGTCTCTTTGGACGACAGTCAGAGCACAATTTATCACACATGATAGGATTTAGCTCAGTTCCCTTTTCTGCTGATGAAACACACATAACACAAAAACCGATAATGAAACTGCACAGAGTGCATAGAGAACAGAGGATTTTCATGCATTTCAATTATGGAGATTATTCACCTTCTGTGGGATTTGAATGAAAGAGGTCTGAACCTAAATCCGGATCATGACCCCAACAGCTCAACAACATTATAAGATGAGATGAATGAAAGTGTAATTCAAAGCATTAGATTTTACATGTGATCCATGTAAAATAATATTGCTACCTTACTTTTCTTGGTCAGTATGAAGCCATGATGTTCCTCCTGTGGGGCAGCCGTCCAAGCTTGGTGGGATTTGTTATGCATAAGCGGCTTGTCACATACTGAGGTTGTAGCGGTGTTACTCACACAGGAAAAGATGCAGCTCGTCTTCTCGTTAAAAGAGGTTAAAAGGTGCAAAAGTCAAGCATGGACAATAAGTGTAAGAAAAGGGGTTAAGTAAAGGAATCAAGGAGATAGGGAATAAAATACAGCAGCAGATTAAATATGATGTAAAAGGTTAAGAGCAACATGTGAACAGCTAACCTGGATAGACCTTTGTACCTCACGGTTCCTGGACATGTTGAAAACAAAGACACATGCAGGGCAAAGTTTTATTAAACTTGTCTTATCAGCTGTTTGGTGAACGTGTTTGTGCGTGTGTGTGTGTGTGTGTGTGAGAGCGAGCGAGCGAGAGAGAGACATTCAGAGCGAAAGATCACGTGCAGATTTAAACGCCATCGTTTTCCTTTCTCGGCTAAATCGTATAAAACGTATAAAAACTATAATTATTATGAGGACATTAGCATCCACTAGGAGTAACACCATAAACACAATCATGCGTTTCTCTGTAACATTTAATGTCAATGACTAACTAACAACAATCAAAGGTGGAAACAATGTATCAGTAAATCAGTTAAGAGCTTCATATTAGAGAACTTAGCTACTTCAGTTTACTCAGAACTTTCTGACCACGAGTGTGACGCGTCCATCATGCAGTTAACAAATCACTACGATACGTTCAAACGTATGTTCTCCTTTGCTTCTCAATCAAATCCCCAAATCTGACACTTGTTTGTAACATCCTGGGTTTTTTAAAACCACGATTTTGCCTTGCGTGCTACTTTTAATAGAGCAGTATCTTTCAATGGGGAAGATGTTGTGTGTTTCAACACCCCTCAAATACATGTACATTCTGACCGCAACATAATGAAATCTGTAAAAAAAATAGACAAATAAAGACAGACCATATTAATGTGGTCCATGATAACCACCCACACATGCAGATAAAGCTACAAGCTCAGACAACTGAGACTGTATTCTGCGCCGGGCACGTCAAAACACAGCTGAGAGCTCAGCAAGTCCTTTCACAAGTGATACGTTTGCTCTGTTGCTGCCTTGCAGACAGTCAACACGACTCCTCTGATCAATGCGTCATATACCAAAGAGAAAATGGCAAGGTTGGTTAAAAGGTGCCCGGAGTGCACGCTTGCTCAAAGCAACATTTGTTTACACCATGTAAAAGTAAAAAGATATGATCCCGTCAAAAAGGTCATCCCATGATTAGTAATGGATTCCTTCAAGGGAAAAACTAAAGATAAATATATTTTTTATTTCAAATGAAAATACTTAAATTAGCAAACTGAGTTTTGATTCATGAGGTGTCCTTTTTAGTCGTCTGCTGTTTTTAAAATAACATAATAAATAATATTTTAGCTTGAATGTGTTTGAATCAGATGGATTTGGATTCATCTGCTCCATTCCTGTGTACCACGGACATATTCATTAGCAAAGGTAAAATAAGGACATGCAATTATCCCACAACCACCTGGGACAAACCCCTCGTAAACCTCCTTTAACCACCTCTCAGTGGTACAACCTGCCAATAAACTTTGGCAAACTATTAATTCTGCTCATGAACTGTCTCTTTTATGAGCTTTACAGTTCACTAAAGAGGCACGGTACCAATGTTTGTGGTGTGCCAGATTGTTAGTGTGGATCTTTACAAAGCCAAGTGCACATTGTTTGGGCCAAGTTTATGTGGGCTTGTGAGTCAGCAGACGGCAGCAAAGAGAGAAGTCTTCCTTTAATAAGGAAGCAAATGATCCTTCCTGCTTCATCGATCACATTAAATCTTCTGTCAGTGGTAAAAGTATATATACTCTGTGTACTCTTCACCTATGTTGAATTTGATATTTTCAAAAATAATATCCATAAATGTGATTTGGGGATGACTCGCACTCTTTGTTTCAGTAAATTCAAATTTCAAATAGCTTTCCTGTGTTGTGGTGAAGGTCACTGCGTGGCAGTGCTGTTTAGGTGTTAGAGCTTAGAGAGACAGAAACGGTGGGGGATGGAATAAAAGAATCAATCTTCTTTCTCTGCATCTGTCCAACACCCAGGTAATAATTTAGACCAGTCTACCTCTCCTGGATGTATTCCTGTTATGTAACATCAGCAGAAGAATTATCCCAGTCTATTTTAGAGTATCTTTAGTAATTGTACGTTCATGCGAAAGCTTGCTTGTAATGCCCAGAACACAGACATACACGTACCAACGAGTGCTTTAAAACAATTAAAGATTTATAAGAATGGGTGATGAATTACAAATCTATGCTGGGGAAGGTGGGATAGTGGTATAGATGGAGATGGAGACCTGAATAATGAATATGTGCTGCTGAAGCCTGACACAGTGCACAGGGTGGTGTTATTAACTGTGCTGTTCAGTGGAGGGTGGGCTCTGATGCCTGCCTTCACTGTATCTGGCTTCATGTCTGTTATTGTTATTGCAGCAGAGACGTGTTTGTCTGCACAGGCTGCCCCCACACGTCACCAAACAAGTCAACTTTCTGTTTTTCACACACAGTCTCAGATCTTTGTGCCTAAGAGGGAATCCAGAGCCATGTTACGTTTTTTAAAAGCACAACGTTACAGGGAAAATTTGCAGCATACTTCATGGCCAGCGTTGCATTCATTCTGCTGCACGCACGGCTAACTGAAATGCTGACTAAAGCTTTGCTGTTGTTTCTTTTTTCTTCATTTCCAGTCACGATGGTGATGCAACAAAAGTGAAATGCAGAACACCGCTTTGAAAGAAGCCCATAGAAGTTACATGACAGCCAGCTTCCTCTCACTCTTCTAATGCAACAGGTGTTTTAGTTACACACTTCCTCTGTGTGCACTATTTTTAGCCACACTAGCCTCAGTTAAACTGTTAGCAGTCGGACGTACCGCCCACGGGACATTGGATGGTTTAGGGGACTAATAGGACTGCTAAGGGGTTAAAAGATTTGTATTGCACCATCCATCCATATATTTACCCATCTTCTGGTTGTGGCCATCATTGTGGCACAGTCCAAACAGTTAGGCAGTCCTCCACAGGGCCAGTACACAGACATAATTTACACTCACATTCGCGCTTGCTTGCAGGACCATTGGAAGTAATTAAATCAACAGTTTGGTAAATGGGTAGCAGAGCCACAGTGGTTAGCACTGACTTACATCCAGGAGGTCCTGGGTTTGAATCTGCCATCTGGCCGAGACCTTTCTATATGAGGTTTGCACGAGTTCTCTCTGGGTACGTCTTCCTCCCATAGTCTACAGACATGCAGTTTGTGGGGTTAGATTATCTGGGGATTCTAAATTGCCCACAGGTGTGACTGTGACTGTGAATGGTTGTCTGTCTCTTTGTGTCATTAGCAGCAAATTGCCACCCAGCTAAATCAATACTGCCTCACACTAGCTGTGTGAACGTAAATTTGCATTTTTAACATTTGTGCATGTCACCAACACACAGCAATGAGAGTATTAGACAAGACAGAACTTCCCCGAAGCACACCGACTGCGTCCAACAGCCACTCACACATGCACCGCAGTAATGGCCATAAAAGCTAAGAAGGCAGTCGGGGGCTACGTGTGATGCAATCAGACACTCGATTGTGTGATGAGCCAAGGTCATTGGAAAAGAACAAAGAGATTGTAATCATACAGGAAAAGAATCTGCTGGCATCAGACCACTGGACCTCATTCCTGCTCTCTGATTAGCAGTGCAGCCAAATGTCCGGCAAATCAACTTCAACCGATCAGTCTGTTTGTCTGCAATGAAAGACAAATCTTAACTCAGATCCTACTGGAGGCTTGGCACATGCACACACACACAGACCACATCAAGGATTGCAAGAGCGATTTAAATCTTTTGGGTATTTTTTATCTTCCCAGTTTCCAAATGTCCTTGCAGCTAAAGAAAAAGTGGATAATATGTTTCAGTTCATTATAAATTCATATATGCAACAGGGCATCGTTTTGATTAGCCTCTGATGTTTTAATTAAAGACCAATGAGTTTGTGAACTCTGCACTAAAGGTTCCCAAACCAGTGAGAGTTGAAAGATGTCTTTGGAGCTCATTTTTAGGCTGGTCGTGTTCTGTAAAACTGGCCCTTGGCACCTTCCCCACTCTTTCGTCTCCTTCTCCTTCACAAAACAGTTTAGTCAATGATCATTTAGGATTCAAGCCTGCTTAAAAACCATATCACACAATCACTCACACCAACCCACACACACTGCAGCACACACCCCACATTCACACACCTCAAAAACTTGCAGATATCCTTTCAATCTTCTCCACACACTCAGCCCCCAAGAATGTTTGGCAGTCGGTTTTGTTTATAGCTGAGTGTGAATTATTCTAGTGAGTGAAGAAGAGAGGGGGGAATTGGAAGGGGCTTCCTCTGGAGAGTGGCTGACAGCCTTGTCAAAAATTCTGCAGATACACGCAAACTCAGCCAAAACATGCCCTGGGGGATATAGATTTGACCCTTTTGATGTAGATGTCGGTTAATTCATGCCACATGAACAGGTGCATCGATGCTGCCCCAAGGCTGCTTTGTACGGGCGTCCACAGGAATTACAATGTTCAGTCCATATGTGGAGGAATATGAACCCCTTGGGGATAAGACGGGTTTGGTGTAGGAGTTAGCTTTATATGGAGTTGGTAGAACACAGAACAGAAGTATTGCCTCTCTCACTCACTTCCATCTATGTTTCTGCTCCAAAATCACTCTCTGCATCCTTTTTATGTATTTGTCCAACCATGTAAATGGGCTGAAGAGAGTAAAAGTTGTAGTCTACCTGAAGGACAGTCTCTCCTTGCATCACCCTTCTGTCCCAGCTCTCCACCTTTGCTTGAACGCTTCAGTCTTTGCTTGCCTCTCCGTGGCAAACTCCCAGAAAGCACAGGTGTGTGTGGGCCTGCCCAGATGGCAGTGTTTTTGATGATGACAGGAGGAAGAACAAGCCAACCGAACTCAGGTCTTCTATTCTACTGCCCCCCGCCCTTTTTTTTAACATTAAAAATAATCAGCAGTGTTTGGTTTGATAAAGAGCTCAAAGCAACCTGTAAACCTCATTAATAAACATTTCAGTGATAAAAACAATACATTTGTGGTTCACAGCCTTTGTGCTGCACGCCCTGGGAGATGCCACATTCTTGCATTAGTTTGGCAAAGAGTTGTATTTTTTAACAAAAAAGGTTCCATCACTAGCACCAAATAATGTAATGCATTAGTAACAGTGTTACAGATTAAGCTTCTGCCAGCACAAACCGAACATTCCCTACTCCCGTTGCTTCACATTGAAAGGATTTAACAGGCAGGCATAAACTAGTCACAGGAAGTCTTTGTTGGCGAGTCTAGCACTTACCACTATCATTCTTCAGAAAAACGAAGCCAAATCACTGGAATTTTCAGGATTTTACCACAGATCACCAGTTTGAAATATTGCAGGGACTAAATTAACAGACACACAGAGCGAAAATGAGCAACAACTTTTACTTTTTCTCTTCCCTCTTGTCTCGTCTCATTCCCTGCGCAGCATGGGATCAGATCACAGTTACTCACAGAACGAGTGGGCTATTGTCTGATGTCTTCATTAAAAAAAATTACATTTACATTTTTTCTCTGCCTCTCGGTATTCTGTAACCTGTAGTTTTAAACCTAATTTGTTGTTTCCAGCAGAAGATCAAACAGGACTAAACAAGATGACTCAATTGGACTCAAATGATTTTGTGCTCTTGAATGGCTTATGTCCTTGTTACACTCCATAATTTCAACTTGACATATATGCTAGTTCTCACTCACAGTAATACTAGTGTACAAAGAGACACATTAGCATTCCTTCATAAAATATTTAAAAATCTGCAGCAGTTCAAACCGAATCTGAAATAAATGGATGGTTCGCCCTCACCTGCTCGTGTCTTGCTCTGGTCTCCTGGTGAAAGATGTGTTAAAGCAGGAGGTTGCTAACAAGCACAAGGTTGCTCACACTTGTGTTACCTGTAAACACAAGGAATGAGTCTTTACAGGTAATGAGTTGGAAGCTTGGACTTAAAGAGTGGGATCAGCTGGTGTTGGAGTGTTTGTTTTTTAAATAACGATTTCACAGGGGAATACTTCCCCTGAATTCTGAACATTCCCACTGCTTCAGTAGGCTATGATGCTTCCCATTATGCTATTTCTTTGATGGACTAATTGCTTTGAATTGCATAATATTTAGAGTTCTATCATCTCTGCGACTGTACCGTCATAGAAACTGCACCACTAACTAATTTATTACAGAAAATATGTTACAAAATGTAACATTACAAAGTAACACAATTTTGCTAGATGCTCTATGAGCTGTGCATGCTAATGATGCAGTATACTCCAAATACTCCTGCTGGGCACTCAAAGTGCTTCCTACTGCAAGTCTCATTCACCTAATCACACATATATTCGTATGTTTTATCTATGCCTAAGCATATTTTCTAACTTTCACACACTCACACTCCAATGAAAGCATCAGGGACAACTCAGGGTTCATCTTCTTGTCCAAGGATATATTGACATGTACACAGGAGGAGCAAAGGAGCTATTTACTTGAGCCACAGCCACCCCAATGACAGTGCAAACACGCCAGTGTTCACCAGATAATCTGTCCCACCATTTCTAGAACCTTAGCATGTTATCTCTTAACACATATGCAAAATGGTAATGGTTCTTGACCTGGGAGTGCAAACAAGTGGCTCTTTTGTTAATCTCCTGTGGTGTTGATGAAATTAGATGAATATGAATATGGGACAAAACAAACACTACCTACTGAGCTATCCCTGTTATCCATTAAGTGTGCTCAACCTCAATAGCAGTGGATACCATGGATGATATATATCTATAGAAATGTGAAAAAAGATTTTCACACAAGGGGGGATCACAAACCTTGCACCGGTGTCCTGACTCTGGCTCCTGTGCTTGACTCAGTCATGTTAAGCGGGACACTCAAACAATGTGATGCTAGTAAGTATCTTTCCCCTGCAGTTAAGACTAGACTAGCAGCACTTAGTTGTGTTCATTACGTTTATTTAAACAAATCATTGAATTCAGAAGTTCCAGGCACTTCCATAGCCAACGGGGAAAAAAACCAGGCACCTAAGCACCTCCACACATTTATAAAAGAAGCGATTGATCTCAGGAGCTCAGTGAATTCCAGCATGGCGCAGTAACCCGATAGAGTACCTTTGAGATGAATTAGAGCAGAGCCTGTGAGTCAGGCTGCCCCCTCCAGCATCAGTGTCCGACCTCACAAATGCACTTCTGCAAGAAAAAAAATCCCATAAACAGACTCCTCAACTTTGTGGAAAGCTTTCCCAGAACAGCTGAAGATGTCATAGCTGCAAAGGGTGGGACATTGAACACTATGGATTAAGAATGGGATGTCACTCAAGTTTATATGTGTCTGCAGGCACATCTGGTAACTTTGGTAACAAAACCAGTTCAGAAGATGCTGGGACTCTGTGACATGGTCTCCTTAGTTTCCAGACATTCATGGACTTTTGTTAAAAGAGGAGGGGGTGCTGCACAGTGGTAAACAGCCTTGTTCTGCCACCATTAGTCGACTAGTCACGATGTCGTCGACGACTAATTTAATAGTCGACACGTCGTTTGAAGCTTTGTAAGATTCCAAAACATGCAGGAATAAGTAGCAGGATTTAAGAGTGTAATAACGGACTGAAACAGAAGATGGCAGCACTGCATGTACAAGGATGCCAGCTGCCGTTAAACCCCGAAGAAGAAGAAGCTGCGTCCGGTATCGTAGCTGTGTCCAAATTCAGGAACCACATCCTCCTGTACCCGCATTTGTAGCAGTGTTGCCAACTTAGCGACTTTGTCGCTATATTTAGCGAGTTTTCAGACCCCTTAAAGACGTGAAAGCACGTATCTCTTTTACTCTCAACAAGCAGCGGGTGCTGTAACGCAGTCAGTTCTTCTTTTACTCTTATGCTGTTTTGTGGATCACAAGGTTTAAAACTACTTATAAACACACACACACAAAGTAACTCCACCAGAGTGCCTATTTCGGGTCACTTTTGCCGGTCCAAGCCCGGGTAAAGGAGCAGGGTTGGAATTGTGACATTAAAAAAACAATAATTGCTAAAAGAAATTTAATTTGTAGTTCTAAATAAACTCTAAATGCATTTAGGACGTTTTTTACTCACTTTATGTCTCTTCCACGATGTTATTTCTCTCTCCAACAACATAGGTTACAATTAGATTAGCATGACCAATTATGCAAATTAGGCGATGACGTCATTTAGCGACTTCTAGCGACTTTTAGGACAACCGATTTTCCTTACTGAGGAGTTGGCAACACTGATTTGTAGGCTGATTACGCTACAGCGAAGACTGTCCAAATGCTAAGACTCCGACAAATGCCCTTCATTTCCCCAGATTTGAAGGAAGGGTCGGGTGAATACTTCGTGGCCCAACCTATCCCAGAATTCATAGCGCGGCCCAGCTCAGTTTCCAACAATGGCGGCAGCTAGTTAGTTTTAATATTACTCTTATTATTCTTTCTGGGTCACAAAATAAACGTTTAACATATTTATCAAGACACCGCATAATTTTCACAAGCGCTCCGACGTTTTCGGAGACGTCTGTTCAACCCACCGTTTCGCTACTCAGGTTAAACATATATATGAGTCACTTAGATAACTTAAAAATGTTATTGTTTGGCTTTTTTAGTATTTTATTTGTTCCTGAGTAAATCGGTTTGGCTGAGATTAAAGTTATAGTTTTTACACAGCTGAATAAACGTCAAGCAGACAGCTGATTATCAGAAGTGTGAGATGCTCGAGAATTTACTCCGGTGTCCTGTTATATTTTAGATAGCAAGGAGTTTATTAAACTTCACCGAAACAATCTGCAAATTTCATTAAAATTTAATAAACTATCATCTTGTCTTTATTTTTAGTTAGCACATACCTTAAACACTTAAAGCTGTAAGCTAATGATAGTTATATAAGAGCAGATGCTGCTGGTGCAATAAGCTGTACGTTTTACGTCCAATGGATGATGATCTGATTAGTCGACTAATCGCAAAAATAATCGGTGACTAGTCGACTATCAAAATAATCGTTTGTGGCAGCCCTAGTTCTAATGTTTTTGATATGAGTTACTGCCATAATATTAAAGATAACTTCAAATGGTGAATTTTCTCTGTTTAAACATTTGAGATGTTTTCTGTTATGAATAAAATATAATTTCATGAGATTTGCAAATCACTGAATTCAATTTTTACACAGCATCCTAAATGAACCGGGTTTATACATCAAAGATGTGGATTATGTGTTGGTGGCCTCATTGTACAGAAGCCTTTGTTTGTATGCATGTACTTGCATTGTTGTTTCTCCTCTTCCCTTTTAATTTGTATCCACAGGTAACAGGAGGTTTGGTTTTTGTAAACAGTTATCTGGTTAGCCTCAGGTAATCTTTGAGTTCAACACAGCTGAAAAGGAATGTTTAAAGACTGTATTATATTCAGTTTGATGCTGGTCTGGCCTGCTGATTTCCCCTTTCTGTCCCTCTGTGCTGGCTTGCAGGTCCTGGGTAAGCAGAGTTAATCAGGGTTATTGTTAGAGCATGAATGTTTACAGACACTAAACGTCGTCTTTGCAGAGGATGGTAAAATACTTCAGTGAATAAAATCTGCTGCAAATCTTGCGAAGACTGTGAAGCTCTGAAGGACTTTTTTTTATTACGAGCCTCACTGTAACTACTTGAGCTTCCCTCCTGAGCTTTCCAGGACATTTTTTAGCATGTTTGTGTTAATCTTTTACCAAGTTCACTGTCTTTATGTGAGCGTGTTTGTGTGAGTCCTCTGTTATTATAAGGTATTAAAGGGCAGTGGACCATCAAGTCAAGCTGCCATGTAATAAAGGGCACATAATTCATTTCACTATGGAGCAGAAAAATGTGCTTGGCTTTAGATAAGAAGACACTTACAGAGACTCTTGTTTTCTCTGTCCACTCCCTCTCTCGGATCTTCCTCTGTCTCTCCTTTTTCTGTCTTTTATATTTTTATCAAATCTACACAAATCCTCTGATTTCCCACTAACAAATATTCAAATATTAAATCACATAGAAACCCATCAACAACAGCTTGTGTTTGTCTTTTTCTTGAGATTCATGTTTTTTTGGTTTTGTTTCGAACAAACTGGTTCAGTGTCCCTACAGTCGAACATTAATGGCAGAATGCATTTTCTTCCCTTTTCCATTTTATTCCTTTAAATTAGAGTGAGAAAACACACTGGGACACTGGGACATTCGGCTGATTAAAATCTACATTTGCGGTCTGAGCCAAGTGCTCTCTATCTAGATGGTGGGATATGTCCTCTGTAGGGATTTCTGTGCTGATAGTCTGTGCCTGTGCAGTTTAATTGGATCCATATCTTACTGTATATCTTATGGTGTGCATCAACTGTGATGCCTATGGTGGAAAATCAAACACCAGCTTATCCTATCTCATGACATGGAGGGAATTAAGAAAATTCTTTCTTGTAACAAAGAAGAGAAATGCTCAGTGGGGGGATTTCCCAGCATCACAGAATCAGTGCATAATCTCACATCAAGGTAAAATTTGCTATATAGGAAAATGTTTGACATTTACAAATTGGTTGTGTTGAAAAAAAGATGTCATACAGATGACGCTGCAAAGCAACTTCAGTTGCACCACCTGCCTGAACATCTCTGCAGTACAAGAATCACCCTCTCGCCACATTAGCAGCAGCCTCCCTGAAGTAAAACTGCTACAAAAAAGGAAAAGGAAAGGTGAAAACCCTACAATTTTGCAATTTGACCTTATTACAACCAGTAATACCTGTAGTATGAAATATTTCTCAACTTTATTTATTCCAGAACAAAAAATGTTAAAAATAATCACACTTCTAAAATCAAAATCTGCACATCTACTCACAAGGACTGCTCCAAGGATTAAAACAAGCAGCTCACTTCACGTGTCCCTACAAGCACATACGATACCCTTTTCTCACTGCTGTCTTGAACCTGTAATAATTCATGGCTGTGGAACAACTGAAATTCAAGTGTTAGCTTCACTATGAAAATTACAGCACCTCCGACAAGCTAACACCAGTAAACTGTAGCCTTAGCTGTCATCAGTACAAATGTAGGATGAAAGCAAAGCTGGCTTTGAATATTAAACAGCTACTTCTCCTCCTTACGTGGCTCTTGGGTCTTTGGGGGTTTGGGTTGTTGAAGACTGGTGGGTCTCCCCCCAGCATGACACCAGACAAAAATCTGATAAGTCTCAACATGATCACTCAGTTCATTAACTGAGGTAAAGTGCTATGATACATGCATATGTATATGTAATTTATAAGGAATATTGTAGCATATGCCATATACAGTGCTTGACTATATGTCATAAAACAAGACAACATCAGTAATTTAAGTACATTTGAGAAAATTACATCATTATTTTTTAAGCAAATTACAGAATTCATGTTCTTAAACCCAAAGCCAGGAAAGACTTCTCTGATCAGTCAGAAATTAATCACCAATTAAAATCAACCACCAACCCCAATTCTTCTGCAGTTAAATAAGCGTAATTTGGTATAAAATGAATCATTTGCTTTGCTATTTTTTCAGCTTATCTTTTAAAACAGTACATTTGAAAGTTGTTGGATACAATTTGATTATAGAGTTTGTACGATGTGAACCATAAAAAAACATAAAAATGATTTTGGTAATGATAAGTAGCATTAATTTAGGGCATCTGTGGCATAAACCTCACAATGAGTGGTGGTCTCATAAATTTTTCAAGCATGGTATGTTTATTTATCATCTTTAAAAAAGTTAATGGAAAAATGGTGACACCAAATATTAACCTTTTTTAAAAAAAACAACACATACCACACAGATAATCTGCTGAGCTGCTCTTTAAAAGTTTCTGCCAGGGTGGATGATTTACCATATTGGTAAATGTAACTTCACGTGTATTAACCACCAGGGAGAATATCCTACTTTGTATTGGGACTGCTTCCATCTGCAGGGACTTATATGTATTTGGTGGTGTGACTGTTTTGGGGATCTTCAATTCACATCCACGTATAAAATCCATAAGGCAGAGATAACACAGCTCCATACCCATCCACATACACCGAATGCTGCAGGGCATGAGACCGAGAGAAGACCCAGAAAACAGAAAGAATGAATGAAAACAGAAATGACCTTGATTAGGGTTGTGAAAAAAGAGGTGAGGTTAGAGTGGGTTGCAAAGTAACTTGCAGATGCACAGAACTGTGTGCAGGATAAATCAGCTTAAACAGTAGTGCCAAGCATTAGTAGATGTTGAAAGGCAGTGAGGGCAGCTGATGTCTCTGAAGCCTGACTTTGGGGCCTACCTGAGCTACCATCATGACAGACTTAAACCATCAAGCTTTCTTCTTCTTCTCTTCCTTCCCCAAAACTGTAATAAGCGTCTGCTGAGATTTCTTTAATGCCACAGAGCTAGAAGCGACATACATGACAGATGCTCCATCTGCTGTATGCTGAGTCCCAATCCTCACCTCCATCCAAACACCTCTACCACATCCACGCTGTGCACCTCCGTTCTTATTTTACCAGAAGCATGACATACACATTTTTCAAGTTAACTTTATTTGTTCAACCTTTCTTATCAAAGTTTCATTGTCAAAGGGTTCCTCAGCGCCCACATCATGGAACAATGAATGCATGCAGCGACCTTTCGACTGTCAATGAGCAAGAAATACTCCCCCTAAGACCATGGATGAAAAAATAAGTAGGCGTGTGAGAGACAGTTTATCCGTGCAAGAAAGAGAGAAAGTGTCATGGTCCTGGATCGGTGACCCAGAGTTCTGTGTTTCATTTTGATATCATCTTGAGTTTTGTGTTGATTCTTATTTTGTATTAGTTCTTAATGTTTTAGTGTTCTCCCTTCTGTGCTCTGTTCATGCCTCTGAGTTTGTGTTTGTGAAACAGTTTGTGAGTTTCCTGTTTTACTTTGAAGGTCTGTGTCTCGTCGTGTCTAATTAGGTTCAGCTGTGTTCCCCTCTGGTGTGGACATAATTGAGACATTTTTGTTATTGTTATCAATACTAATCAGAACCTGTTAAGATTGATACATAAGAATGATACAGTGTGAGCAGATAATTGCACTGAGCACTGTCTTTTTTGGAAAATGCACTGGATGCTCGTTCTTATTTTCTTATCTAACCATGTGAGTTAGGTAAGAGGATTATTGCTGCTGTTATGTTTGTATGGAGACAGAGCCAGGATGTAATTAGCTTAGCTTACCATGATGATTTGAAGCTGCATTAAACACCTGCACGTGACCACCGGCTAGCTAAGTAACAGTCGTTTTTTATTCTACACAGACTGTCTAAATATACTTTTTTCGCCTCCGTGTCTGCGTGTCTTCTTCTACATATATTTGCCTTATTAATGCAAAAACGGTGATGTGTTAACTGGAAAGGTCAAATAAAAATGTAAAACACAAAGATATTTTTTGAGGGTTGACCCCACACAACCTTCATAAAACAATGGGCTGCTTCCTGTACAAAAAATTAAAGGGCTTAGCTTTATTTAGCAAACACCCTGCTGCCTCCAACATCCTAAATGATATTACTTTTTTTAAAATATTAGAACATTTTCAAATTAGAATAAAATGTTTTAGTCGTTTAAAAAGTGTCACTCAAAAGCGAAAGTCCTTGAAAAGGTCTTTATCAAACATTCATCTTTCTTGTCTTTCACGTGTAAGTGACTTTTTGGACTGAACTTTACTTTTGAGCATCAGCAATGATTTGTGACGATGAGCTACACAGACATATGAGAATACTTTATCCCCCGTAGCTTCTTTTAGAATAATGGTCCATACGAGTTATGATCAGTGTTGCAAAACGCCATTATATACTGTTTATAATATCAATGTGTCTTTACCTACTGAGTATACAGATGGATAAAAAACTTTGTAAAATACATTATATTTCAACATGTGCATGTAAATCTTAATTCTAAGGCATGAAAACCACAATAAAGCAAAAGAAATTGCCACTGAATTAATAGAGAAAAAAAAAGATAAATCTTATTTGAAGCAACTGGATGAAGTTGAGTTTCAGGCAGTAACCCGTTTCCCTGTGGGGGTTTTAATCCCAACTTTAATCTAGATTACATCCACATCTGTCATGTCCCTGCGTGCCTCCACAACCTTCTTGGACCCCACGGTGCTGCAGGCAACTTCTCAGTAAAAGAACTCTGAGAGGTCCAAAGGCCACAGCGGGATTAAACAGAGTAGATGAGGACAGATTTGTTCCAGACACGAAGATCAACAATAACCAGAGACCGCTGTCTTAAAAACATTAGATTAGACATTATAGAGACGCTCTTCCACAGTGCTGTAATTGTGCGGGTGAAAACGAGAAGGTGATGTAAGAAGCGGATTGCCACAGAATTCACAGAATACTTCTCTGTCTGGCAGCGGCAGCTGTTTCTGTTTCTTCTTCTCAGAGTAAATGTTCAGCAGTAGGACTCTGATTGAGCATCCCAGACGAGCAGAGATTAGACCATCGTACCAAGGAAAAAAAATACAGACCAGAAAACGGATTTCTCTCAGATTACTAGGAGAGCTTTTATTTGGAGCGTTGCAAAGTACATTTCATGGTTTTAGTGCTCACTCTCTCTCACTCACGCTCGTCTTCATTCAAATAAAAACACCTTTTTTTCCTCCATGTCCGTTCCTTTTGTCACTGATTTAGAAACATTTGGAATAATTATGCAATTTCTTAATCATTTACCTGGAGTTTATATTTGAGAATGGAGAAACCATTTCAGTCCAAGCATAGAAATATACACAAGAGAGATGAATCGTATCATATATGAGACAATCAATTTGCTAGAGCATGGCTTCAAGCTAGTGTACAGTACGAAACACACTGAGGTCATACTGTAGGCAACAGATTAAAAAGTAATGAGAATGAAACTAAAAGTTGCAGTCAGTATTTTCACAGTGGGAGGAAAAGCAACTTTGGATTGAATATTGCATGTTTATGGACGCAGCCGTTTACTAATATTGCTGCAGAGGCTTTCTGGTCGGACAAAATCATCCGATTTAAAGGGTTGTGTGTCTCTCAGTGCGGACACTTTTACTCCTTATGAAATCCTTGAAGAGCAAAAGAAATGCGTAATGTTTGCTTAATCTCTTTTTATCCAAACAATGCAGATGCCCTCAGAGCTGTGTAGATAGTGAGGTCTTTTGGAAACAGTACTTTCATCATATACTGCACAGTCACATCTTAGAGGTCAGTCTGTGCAAATGCAGCTCAGAAAGCTGCTGCCGGAAGGCTGTGATTATTATTTCCAGCAGCTTCGCCACCTTTCCCTAACAGAGCAAGAGATTCCAGCGAGTGCACATTATCCTTGTCTAGATGCATTTTAGGTGGAGCCGAGTTCTCACCGCCTCCTTCACCTCCCGCCTCCTGTGGCTCCCCACTGGCAGCAGCAGCTGCAGCGGCAGCCACGCACTCCTCTTTGAACAATCGGTCATGCTCCATCTTGAGCTCTTGGTAGGAGCGGGAGAACATGTGGAAGATGGAAGTAGCAGGGAAGGCCATGATGAGAATGCCACTGAGGATGCTGCTCAGTGCTACCACCTGTCCCGGAATGGATCTGGGCACCATATCGCCATATCCCACTGTCGTCATGGAGATAATGGCCCACCAGTAGGAGGCGGGAATGCTGGTGAAGTCATGGGTACCTGTGAGCTCGCTCTCAGCCAAGTGCACCAGCGGGGAGAAGAGGGTGACAGCGACGCAGAGAAAAAGCAACAGAAGGCCAAACTCCCGGGTGCTGCGTCGCACCGTCAGCCCCAGCGTCTGCAGGCCGAGAGAGTGGCGAGCCAGCCTCATCACGTAGAGAATTCTCAGCGCTCGCAGGATCCTCAAAACCAGGCCTAGCTTGTCCAGGTAGCCCTTACCTCCTCCCGGCCTCTCGTGTTCCAGCTCTGGGTCTTTCTCTGTCACCACCAAGGAAACGTAGTAGGGCAGGATGGCCATAGCGTCGATGATGTTGAGCGGCCCGCGGAGAAAGTCCAGCTTGCTCTGAGCTTGAATGAACCGCAAGATGAACTCCAGGGAGAACCAGGCCACACACACCGTCTCTATGATGAACATGTTGTAGCACTTAGATGAACACTCGCCCTGAGGTGGAAGAGAAGGCAAGGCAGAGAAATTGAGGATAAGAGAAGCGAGAATTGACAGGGAGTAAGACAGATGGTGAGAAAAGCACAGGGAGAAGATTCAGAGGTCAGATAATCGTCTTTGGTATTCATTAATTAATCATAAGTTACATTCGGTCAGTATGCTAAAGCTACTGCAGCTGCACTGGTGGGTTATAAAGTGACGTGATCGATCAATTATTGCATTTGGGAAGACCTCAAGGATTAATCCTCCATGGGAGTGGCGACAAAACGCAATCAAACTTGTGTGCCCTCCAACGACAGTGTCACCGAAGAGTAATGCAATAATAAAAAACTCCTCTAAAAGAATAGTGGGAGTGGGGTGTGTGTGTGTGTACATGACACTGCTGCTAGCTGACCCTCGTTTTCACACACTTGTGCCATCACACAGATATATTCCTCGCAGCCAGGACAGCTCTTTGTTATGTGACTTTCAATATATGTTGTTCTGAGTATTTGCTACAATGTTTCTCTTAGAAGCGCAGTTTCTTCAGGCAACACTTTGTTGTCGGTTTCTGACTGTAGTAAGTGAGAAATATGCTAAAGTATCCCCTCTGTGAAGAGGAGACTTTGCGCCCCGATGATGGGGAATCATCAGTTTTTCATAATGTTATGAGTTATTTGGTTTTTACACAGGCTGAATGTGAGACTGCATTATTAAGACAGACACTGTTTATGTCTTCTCTGTGACACTCCTTTCATCAGCCCCCCCCCCCATTTCTCCCCACGTTTCCCATTGCTCACTCTCTGCTTTTATCTGCACTGTCTCATTCATTTCCCTTCTATCTCACAACTTTTTTCTCCTCCTGCAAGCCTCTCCTTCATCCCTCTGCCTCCATCTCCACCTTCTCATCATTTATTCTTCTTTCCTCCTGTATCGCCCTCTTCGGACTCCCTCCCCTCTCATTCTTCATTCTGTGCTCGCCCCTCACACTGCTCTCCTTCTGCATTAAAGCCTGCATTCATTCATTCATTCATTCATTCATTCATTCATTCATTCAGCGTTCCACTAAGTGAAGTTTCTCTATGCGTTGTATCCGTCATACACACATACATCTGTTTACTTCGTGTTGCATTATCACTTGTGTCCTCTCTGCCTTTTTCACTCTTTTTAATCCCACTGTGATGTTTTGCCTTTTTGCTTCATTCCTGCAGAGTGGCTCTGCATATTTTGTAATGCTGGTGCAGGAATATGTGTGCTAAGATATTGTGACTTTCAAAGATGTTCCTTTGTGCAGGTTGCATCATGCAGTGATGCTAGCAGTGATAATAGCAGCGTTTATCCAGTCTATAAAGGAGGACAGTCTCTCAGCTCTCTGGCATGAATCTTAGTTCTTTAAAGTTCAGGACAAATTTGTCTTGGTGAGACACTTTGTAGGTTTTATGCTCTACAATCTACATTTGAACAGGACTTAATATTAACTGTTTAAATGCTTTAGAAAAGGATCTTAATTTTATTTGATTGTATTGTGTTAATGTTTTATATATAAGGCCTTTCATGGCAGATGTAGTTCTTTTGATCATTATTTTTAATGGAAAAATACTCATGCAAGTAACTTCATGTTGCTTTAGATTTACATCCAGTACGACTTGCATACTGTAGCATAATGCAGCATCAGCTTCTTTCAAGGCTTCGCTGAGTTTTATGGTGTTTACACCCAGTACAATATTCAAACCCAAGATTCCACATCTTTCACTTGCTGCATGGAAATAAAATTAAGCCTGACCTCTTTGCTATCTTATGGTAGGAACTGACCCCCACTGTGATGAAACTGTAAGCCTAAAACAATATGTATGAGGCTTCATGTCTCCCAGGTGGCTTAAAGTCTCTATGTGACTATAAGAAGTAAAAAAAAGCTCTCTGGTAACTGAAGACATCGATTAAAATCGATCAGTCTTTTGTTTTCCATTTTTAGACTAGTAATTAAAGATTTCAGTCACTGTCTCAGTTTAGCTTTTGATATTTGCTAACTGCACCAAATGGCTTTCTAATTGTGAGGATTTCTAGGAAAGAAATGATGTAAAAGTTGCTGAACATGATTCAAAAACAGATGAATAAACTTTAGTCCCGACAATCGTGATAAACATGAACCTTTAATGGTTCCTAGAAGGAGGCGCAGGGCAGAAACACATTTAGTGTATCATTAACATCAGTGTGGTTAATATGTTAGCCAAGACATCCTAGTTTCCACATGCAGCAGGCAACATGATCGCTTACAGCTTACTTTTGGTTTCTCAGCAAAGTCACAAAAACTCTTTGTTTTATTTTGGCCTTTGAGTCGACAGCGACATCGCTCTTAAGCTGGTCATTGCATCATAACGTTTCCGAGAATTTATGACATATCTAACATCTCATATTAAAATGTATTCAATAAAGCCGCAGCCCACACAGTTAAAAGTAGAACCACGATGGCTATATATGATTTCTCCAGAGGTCTGAAGGACTTATTGCTTGATATTTTTGTTGAACTAAAGGAAAAGACACACCACAGCAAATCATTACCTAAATATTAACCGAATGTAAACCTTTAAATTTCTCAGTTTCAGGACATTCATCGTGTTTTTTCTGTCTGATGTCTAACTCTGTGGTCTCCCTGCATGAATCTTTAAGGCACTTTCTGTCACAGTGTAGATGTTCTGTCTGACACAAGCACCATCCTCTCCTCGCGGCTCTTTCTTTCTCTGACATTAGGCCTATCGCAGCTTTGTGCTCTGCTCTCTGCAGAATAGACCATTTGTTAGAGCTCCAAGCCTTCTACGTCTGTTTCTCTGCCTTTCAACTACAGACACAATTGTGCACACAATAACCTCCCACAATACTAACTATCTCCCTGACCTTATCTCCTCCGAATGACTCTGTGGAACTAATGCCAGCAACAGCACATTTCAGCACAGACACCATTCACCCCACAGCTGTCTCACAGGGGGTCTCGTTTTATCATCTGCATTAACACATCCCAATGTCAAATTAAGACAAAGACTGCAGTGGGGGCAACGAACACTGAGCCATTCTCATGGCAAGGACATTTAAAATGAGCAAAGAGGAAAATACATTATTATTATTAGTAGCAGTATTATTGCAGCTTTCCTTATATTTCGGAGATAAAAATGGTATTTCTACAGAATCCCGCAGATATGTGGGACATAAATCAACTCGAAGTAAATGAATAAAAAGACCTTAATGACAAAATGAACAATATGTATGATGCAAAAAAATTCTGGGCAGCACGGTGGCACAGTGGTTAGCACTGAGATACTACACTTGCTATGTAATACATTATTTTGGTATTACAATGTGAACACAGTGTGGAGAAAAAGGTTTCAGCTGAAAATGTCTGTGTGACCTTGACAATTGTCCTTGTTTTGAATATGGCAATAACAAGGAGAAGCCAGATGCTACAATATTAATATATATAAGCATAAAACTATTACAGCATTACAACCTATACAAGCTAAAGAGAGCAGCCCAGAACAGAGTCCGTTGGCGGGGTGTTGTTGCGGACCTATGCTCCCCCAGGAGTCAACAGGAAAATTGATTGAACCTATACAAAGTGATCCAAGCTAATGTCTGCTGACCCTTCAGCATAGCTGCTTCTCTGCATGACGGTTTGTCTGTCGTCTCTCTAAATAAACATCTGGCTTTAACTGCGTAATTATGACGACTTGCAATGTGCTACACGGTGTTTGTGTTCATGGTTAAGCAGACGGTCAGAAACATTTAATCAGCTCATGATGGTGTTTTTCTCGT